AAAGACCTTATAAACTGCTACGGAAGGTGAGCAGACTTGAATGGCAAAGAAGAAATACCAATGTTATTTTAAATTAAAGGAATCAGAGGAGGAAAAACTGGCAAGATGAATGATAAAATCCATCTAGGAGAACATTGCTCTATGGAAGTAAAAAATAATTCATTTAAACAGTCTTGTAACCAAATGCTTAAGAAAGATCACTACCAAAAATTGATTTCCAGAGAGTCACTTGAGAGTATCTTCAAAAATCAAAACTTTGGGTCCCAAAAAGTTCAGAGTATTTCACTTTACATACGTAGCATAGGCTAAAAGAGGGAGGAAATGGAAGTTTACCAACGTCAAAGCAGGGTGGGAGGGAAAAATGAAAGGCACCCCCAGGAAAGTATGCTGGTAGTGTAGTTAGGGTGAGAAACCTAATCCCTGAGACTATTTTCATAATGCCCAAATCTTCTCTCGCCCTTGAATTGAGTGAATTGAAAACGGTGCATTGTGTCATTAAAACGTACTAATCTTCTTTTTTTTCTCTTTTTCATCCCAGGAGGTGAATTAGTTATCCCTCTACTTGTAGAAGACCCTTTAGATATCCCTCCTATTGCTACTCGTGCACCTTTCATTACACTTCCCCCTACCTTTCGCCCCCTCCTCACCATTATTGAGACCACCAAAGATTCCCTGTCCATGACCTCTGAGGCGGGGTTACCTTGCTTGTCGGACCAAGGCAGCGATGGTTGTGATGATGATGGCTTGGTGATATCTGGGTATGGCTCAGGGGAAACCTTTGACTCTAACCTACCCCCTACTGATGATGAAGATTTTTACACCACCTTCTCCTTGGTAACAGATAAGAGTCTTTCCACTTCAATCTTCGAAGGTGGCTACAAAGCACACGCACCCAAGTGGGAATCCAAGGACTTTAGACCTAACAAAGTCTCCGAAACTGGTAGGACTACTACCACGTCTTTGTCCCCTGAGCTGATCCGCTCCACAGCTTCGTCCTCGACTGGGATGGTGCCCAAATTGCCAGCCGGCAAAATGAATAACCGTGAGCTCAAACCCCAGCCTGACATAGTCTTGCTTCCGTTGCCCACTGCCTATGAGCTAGACAGCACAAAGCTGAAGAGCCCGCTAATCACTTCCCCCATGTTCCGTAATGTGCCCACAGCAAACCCCACGGAGCCAGGAATCAGACGGGTTCCGGGGGCCTCAGAGGTGGTCCGTGAGTCGAGCAGCACAACGGGGATGGTCGTCGGCATTGTGGCTGCTGCCGCCCTCTGCATCCTCATCCTCCTGTACGCCATGTACAAGTACAGGAACAGGGACGAAGGGTCCTATCAGGTGGACGAGACGCGGAACTACATCAGCAACTCAGCCCAGAGCAATGGCACGCTCGTGAAGGAGAAGCAGCAGAGCTCAAAGAGCGGCCACAAGAAACAGAAAAACAAGGACAAAGAGTATTATGTGTAAAAAAGAATACTTATTTATATATAAATATATAAATACTTAATGAGATTTAACTGAAATAGCAGAACCATTGCAGCGAATGAGATTGGGAGATATCGTTTGTGGGAAAAAGTATTGGGAAAAAAAAATTTCAGCAGTGACTGTTAATGTCTCAGTCATCGCTTGGAGTCAGCAAACTCTGCCCTAATGTATTATAAAGCACACTTAGCGTTCTGGAGATGGCGCGCACAGCTCTGCCCTGTTAGTGAACTGGGACGTCTCCAAATCTCCTCCTCCGCTGAACTTTCTGCAAAGGTAGAAGACTTCCTGGCTTACTTGTTTCGTATCTCCAAGTGAGTCTTTAACAATGTTCGTGATCCCTGACTGTATTGATAATTTTTCAGTTTACTTATTAAAAAAAAAAAAAGGAAGGAAAAAGAAAAAAATGCAAACATTATTAAACAACAAAAAATATTGAACAAACTGATCTGGCCATGTCCAGCATACATATAATTTTTCGAGATTGGAGGAGGGGAATAAATGATTTTGGAGATTGTTGTTTTTTTGGTTTGGTTTGGTTTGGTTTCTTGGGTTGTTTTTTGTTTGGGTTTTTTTTTTTTGGTTACTTTTGGGTGTGGGAGGGAAGGGTGGAGAGGAACACTGGGGGGGGGGAACCAGGACATGAGTTGAGAAGAAATCTCGGAAAAAAATAATCCATAATAAATAGAGACTATTGCCATATACGAACTCAAAAGCTACCCATGGTGTTTACTCTGCATATCTGGTTGTGTTGTCTCTAGAATCCGTCGTCTTGCAGTAAGTTGTTTGCTAACAACACAGTGAAAGTGTCTGATGGGTGGTGCTGAAGAAAAATATCATGGAAAGCTGGTTCCCTTGGATCTGGCTCCAGTATTTGCAATTGAACTGAAGAATAGATGGGTTTGGGTCTGTTCTGATCAGTCATTGGCTTTGTTTGAGAATATCACTTAGTATGCGTTAGCACAGCCAAACTATGGTTAAAGGGATTTGAAGATTCAAAACAGAATGCTTAAAAAATGGTTAACCATTCTAAGCTGAATATACCATGCAAAAATAAAGGAGCCTTCCTCTGGGTTCTGGTTCTGTGACTGATTGCAATGCATGCAAAAAATAATAGTAAATCAGTTTAATAAAGAGATCAGAAAGACACCATCGGAGTTCAACTTGTGACAAGACCCATAAATGTCAGAAAAGCTAAACACTTGTAAAAGAATGCAAAATGCATAGTTTTTTTGACATGAAACTGTTTTTCATACGTAATATTTTAATTTTGTAGCTTGACATTTCAGATCATCTCTGTCTTTCCATTTGCCCCATTCTTCCTTTCCTTCTCTTTTATATAAAAGAAAAGAAATAAAGCTGCTGTGACACACAAAAAATAATAAAAAAGGAATTTAATAATATAATATATATATATACACACAGATATATTTATCATGGTATGTTTGACGGGACGACTGGAACAGAAGTTCTGTTATGGTCTTAATGTGGAATGAGAATGTTCTTGAAGAACAAAAAGTAAAACAAAACAGGCAACAAAAGCAAACCTGAAAATGTGAAGAGAGTGTGTGTTTTAGCTTTGTCACAGTTACCTGTGTCAAAAAAAAAAAACAACAGAAATTTTGTTTACATATTTTACTACTATTTATTTTTGCTAGTATAGTTTCTATATGGATACCCTGATGGCATATATACTGTTTTACAGTTAAATTGGGAATGTCTTTTGTTTTTTATTTAACTTATTTAATTTGGTTGTTTGGTTTCTACATTTTCCCAGTTATTGCAAAAAGGATTATCTTACTGTACAGAACAATAGCCAGGTGGTTTGACGGTGATGCCTATCATGTGCAAAAAAGCAAATGAGGGAGAGAGAGACAGAGAGGTAAACAACAAAAAACAAGATGGATTGAGAACTCTGGAATATCAGAAATGTACACTTTTTCTGTATACGGATGAAAACTAATCAGCTGTTTAGGTTTAGAAATCTACTCTTGCTGGTGTTTATAAGTCGCATGAATATTTGACTTTGAAGAAGTGTCATCAAATATACACACGCACATGGGAACTTAAATTCAAAAAACCAGCCTTCTCAAACATTGAGAGAAGACGCTTTCATGTTAACAAATATTTTCAGTGCGTGTATGTGTGCGTGTGTGTGGTGCGTGTGCGTGTGTGCGAGGTTGAGCTTTTTTTTCCTTTTTTATTTTTTATACTAAAAAGAAAAAAAAGACAGGTTTTAAAAAGGTATGAAAGCACGATTTTAGATGACTTAACTGGCCGAAACTATATAAAGTTGATTATATCTTGATGTCTGTAAAAGATTGCTGTTCTTGGAGTCTTGGAGTCTTGTGAAATGATTTCCTGCTTTCTTTCTTCCTTTCCTTTTTGCTTTCCTTTTTTAAGTTAAGGGAAAAAGATTTACACTTTCTGTTTTTTTGTGTAAGTTTCTATTGGACAGTTTTTGGGAACATGTGCATTTCTGTATGTGGGCTTCTACCATATCCCTGTTGCTTTATGGACAACCTTAAGAATTTTTATTTGAGTTATCGTGATGTTATTGCTTTTTTTCCCTTTCTTTTTCTTCTTCTTTTTTGATTCTTTTTCTTTTCTTATTTGCATTTTGTTTAAAGATATGCTTAGCAATAAAATGTTCTTCCCAAAGCCCTGGATGTTGCTGGGTTTTTATTTCCAAAAGACTTCAGGGAAATTCCAGACATTTAACAGTGAAAAGTAGCCTGTGAGGCAGGTATCCCCCATCCCACAGGAGTGTCTAGACACAAGATTACAGAATCATGTTTATGTTTGCATTCTTTCATTAGTCCAATGAATCTTAATTCTTTACTTTGCAGGGACATAAATTCAACTTGAGTATGGGGTCTACCTCACACCACTCCCAACCCCTTGTCCCCCACCACCACCTCAGTGGGGTAAAGAGTAGTTCTCTGGAATATGGGTTTCAGTGACCTCAGATGAAAGCATACCTAGGACATTGACTTAGTATGCTCTTTCATATGTGCTGCCTGTTTTCAGTCTCCCTTTGAAGTGTGTAGCTCTTCCCATGACGTTTATGGGATTCTGGATTCTTCTTCTGTGGCCAGGAGTCTATGTGCTGCAGCAGCTGAATCATTTGGGGGATTTGGCTAGCCAGTTTGATATAGAAAAGTGTTCACATCATTTTGTATGAGCATTTAACTTAGGTCCTCTGAAATTATGTATGACTTCCCACACACTGCCTAAGGAACATAGTTGACTTACTCTGGGTGCTATGGATCAGACTTAGGTACCTAAAATAGATGGTCTGCATGTTCACTTCCTTCCAGGTAGGCTCTGAGGCTCCCAAAACCCCAATCACAGCTGCTCCCTGCACCTTGTTGTCCTACTGGGCATTATATTCTATGATGATTCTGGTCATCATGCAAAATTGCCAATATCATGTCTTTCTTTAGCAAGTTGTGCAGAACTTCAGCTCACAGTAGTAGTTTTTTTCAAATTGGATCTTCCCAAACTACGTGCAAGATTTGACTTTTTAGAGGCATCTGGAGGTCAGCCAAATGAGTGTTTCACAGCCCTTTCATTTTTCAACCAAGGATGACTTCAACTATTTTTTTTATTTTTTTTTTTCCTAGGCAGAATCCATAGCTCTTTTGAGCAGTGTTTTCCACAGGTTTCATTTACAACAAATTAGACTCAGGATAAACTGATTGTTCCCTGTGATTTTCTACATTGTTTTTGCTCACATGTTTGCATGGGTGAGAATATGTATGTCTATGTAGATGTTTTTTTAATTTTACTGTTTTCACTTCTTTTGTGAATCATGTTCTAACACATTGCAGATCCTCACAAGTCTCAAAACCGCAGGTTCTGGTCTAAACTCCACTCATGTTTCCCTCCCAAAATCATGAAATTCCTGGGTGATGACTGGTACCTAATATACCCAGTACTGGAGTGATCAGCTGTCACATGGGAGATCTAGGTCTGAACTTAATTGCTTCTTCTAATATTGCAGAAAATTTTCTTAACACCAAGTAGTTGGTGTTCTGAGAAAAGCATTTTTATTTTTTTTCTCAGTGCTTTTCTCAAAACCTGTTATACTTCATATCATTACAAAATACTATGTGAAGCAAGAAATTTCAACCTGATTTACCTAACCCTCTGGCTATAGTTGCTCTTTTTTTCATTTTCTGTGTCGCCTAATGACAGTTTTATTACTTAGGCTAAATGAAAGTGTCAGAAAGGAGATTTCATTGTTGCCTAAAGGCTTGGGATTATTGTGTGTCTTTGGCTGATCACAGAATCATGGAATTGTTGAGGTTCAACGGGACCTCTGGAGATCATCTAGTCCAAACACTACCTCCCCAAAGTAGGGTCAGCTACAACGAGTTGCCTGGGACTGTGTCCAGGCAGGTTTTGAATATCTCCACATGTAAATTCCACAGCCTCTCTGGGCAACCTGTTCTAGTGTGAGCACCCTCATTGTAAACAATTTTTGTTGTGGCTAGACAAAATTTAACGTTTCTTAAGTTGTGCCTTTTCCCTCTTAACCTTTTTCTGTGTACCACTGACAAGAGCCTGGCTCCCTCTTGTTTACAACCTCCCTTCAGGTGTTTATACATGTTGATAAGATTCCCCATAAGCCTTCTGTTCTCCAGGCCGAGTAGTCGCAGCTCTCTCAGCCTCTCCTTGTACAACAGGTGCTCCAATCCCTTATTCATCTTCATGGCCCTTTGCTGGACTCACTCCAGTATCTGCAAAATCTGGAGCAGACACAAGTGCCTTATCACCATCACTGAGCTAGGACTATAGCTCTTTTCAAGGACCAGAGCTTGGCAGTTGCTCCTCTTCTCAGCATTTTCTACTGGTAAACAACATCCCACTTACTGTATCACTTTTTGAAGATCCCTGTCTTAGATGCCTGGTTCTACTCTTCCCAAAACTGTTCAGAACATCTCTGCTTATTGCCCAGTTGCAGAGGTTCTTTACAAGTGCTGAGACAAGTCATGAAGATCTGAGTAGTGATGGGCTCTAGCCTTCCCAGTCCTGGTGTTGCAGGAAAGGACTAGTGAGGAGCAGCTTTGATGCTGGTTCCTTTTCCAGATATTTCTGTCCATGCCTCTGGGCTGGGAGGGCAGAGATGCTGGTCTCCTCTGCAGATGCAGTGCCTGGCTGCTTTTCTGCCTCAAGAAGTGAGAAAATGTTGATCAGACAGTTTTGTGATAATGATATAAAACCCAAATATCCTTCAATTCCATAGGTATCTTCAGTCATAACGTGGTGATGACTCCCAAGGAAGGCAAAAACACATGAATTATAATTAATGGATGTGACTTAACACTTAAAGTCAAAGCTAAGCACGTTACTTTTATGGAGATGCAGTT